TCCAAAAGCGCCTCGACTGCCAACCATTACCTAGTCGGGAATTCCCTAAATGCTGGTGCTTTGCTAAGCGAAAGCGCCAGCCATGCGCTCCGCAATTGTGGCTCGCAAAACCCCATCCACCCAACCTAACCCATTCAGCCAGGGAAAGCTCCGTTGTGAAACTGGCACTGCGGTGTGCCGCCAACGCCTGGCCCAAGGCTTTCTTCTCCTCACAGGCTCACGACACGAGTCACACTTCCCGCTCACGCCCAGCAATCAGTGATCCCTCGCGCGATCACATCAAAACCTGACTTTTACTTTGGTTGAAGTCCCCTTACCTTTCCTCATTTGGCACTCTCTCCCATTACTCAGCTCCTTGTGAGCTGTGAGGAGGTGCATACAATCTCCGTAAGGGGCTATACCTCAGTCACATTTGTTGGTTGCCGATCACCTCTGCAACCATGTCGCACTCCGTCGCGATCCGCAGTGCGCCCGTCGAGGCTGCTCTGCTCGAGTCCGTCGCGGCTCGTTCCGCCGCCTCTCCTCAGCGGCGAGTGCGGTTGGCCGGTCTCAAGACCTTCCGCAGAGGACATGTAAGTCAGAGCTGAACCTACACATTCAGGTGTCGTCAGCACATGTCGTCAGCACGTATCGCGAGCAGATGTCCTATGGACTTCAGGATGCACACTTTCCTGGTCCTGATTCGTCTGGCTAAGCTGTCGATGTTTAACGGTCACGGGTGCCCTGAAAGTGTTTAATGCAAACACGATCGTAAGCCCAGGGTCCAAGGGTTTGAGTCTGCGACACAATCACGTCACGTCAATTGGATTTTATACTTTGGGCTTATGCTTTCGCCGTCGCTGCACGCTTTTCATACCTCTCCTGACTGAAAGAGCTGGGTAAAAGCAACGGCAGCTTGAGGCACAGCTCTTGCTAGGCTCCATTCAGCCTGAATCTGTATACTGGGCTTATACTTTTCTCTGTTTCCTTTCTCTGTTTCCTTTCTCTCTTTCCTTTTTCTCTTTCCTCTCTGTGGATGTAACAGCTCGGTCAGAGCATCGCGGCGACAGCTCTAGGAACATCTGCCGCGGGGCTACAATCTAAGCGGAAGACTAATGGCCGATCCGCAGTGCGCGCCGCGGTCGCCGTTGAAGCTCCTGGTATGTCAATGCACAAAATACACTAAACTATGAACACCATGAAGTCAGATTTCCCTGGCGGTCTGTCGCCACCCCTTAAGCTTTACATTGTTCTTAACAAGGAACACTGACACGTCATCATTCCCTCGTTGTAGCTGATCCTGTGGCAGGCGGCGGAGAGGCGGTAACTCGCACCGACATTCGCAACATCGCCATCATCGCGCACGTCGACCACGGCAAGACGACGCTCGTCGACGCCATGCTGCGACAAGCCAAGGTGCGCGAGCGACGCTCCGTGCGACCAGCTAGAACGCCGCAGAGATGCCCTATGCGACCAGTCGGGTCTCAATAACGACATCCGTGGAATCATGCAGTGCTGATCTTGTAACGATCACATTGAATTCACGTGAAAAGCGATAACTCTCAAATATCCCAAATCTACCGCCGTCCCTCACTCCCTTCCCTCTCCTCCCTCTCTCAACCCCCTTGCTCCGTACGCGTTATCAGGTGTTCCGCGACAACCAGCAGATGCAGGAGCGCATCATGGACAGCAACGACCTGGAGCGCGAGCGCGGCATCACGATTCTGAGCAAGAACACGGCTATCCGGTTCCGCGGCACCAAGATCAACATCATCGACACGCCCGGCCACTCCGACTTCGGCGGGGAAGTCGAACGCGTGCTTAACATGGTCGACGGCGTGCTGCTGCTGGTGAGTCGTTTACTGGTACCGGTGATTGCTAGTGAGCCACGGATGCTCAATTGCACCTCGCTTTTGCTCCCTCATCCTCCCCCCGTTACCCGCTCCCCTGCCTCCTCATCCTTCCCCCGCCTCTTTCCCCCCTCCCCTCAACTTCTCCTGCGAGTGCTCTCCTCTCCGCCTCTGCGCCCTCCACCCCTTCAGGTCGACTCCGTCGAGGGCCCCATGCCTCAGACCCGTTTCGTTCTGAAGAAGGCTCTGGAGCTGGGCCACCGCGTGGTCGTCGTAGTAAACAAAGTGGACCGCCCGGCGGCGCGCGTGCAGCACGTGATCAACTCGACGTTCGAGCTGTTCTGCGAGCTGGAGGCCACGGACGACCAGTGCGACTTCACCACGGTGTATGCCAGCGGCATCCAGGGAAAAGCTGGCATGGAGCCCGACAATCTCGCTGATGACCTTGAGCCGCTCTTCGAGAGCATTATTAAGTGCGTTCCCGGGCCGAAGGTGCAGCCGAGCGCGGCACTACAGATGCTGGTTACCAACCTGGATTACGACGAGCACAAGGGGCGGATTGCGATTGGCCGCGTGCACGCGGGAAAGATTGCCAGAGGCCAGGTGGCGAAGATTTGCACGCCCGATGGTAACTGCCGCGTGGCGAAGGTCGTCGAGCTGTTCGTGTACGATAACTTCGCCCGCGTGCCGGTTGATGACGTGGAGGCGGGGGATATCTGCGCGCTCTCGGGGCTGCCGGACGTGCAGATCGGCGAGACGATCGCGGATCGCGACGGCGAGGCGCTGCCGACGATCTCGGTGGAGGAACCGACGGTCAAGATGAGCTTTTCGGTGAACGTGTCGCCGTTCGCGGGGCGCGAGGGCAAGTTCGTGACGTCGCGGAACCTGAGGGACCGGCTGATGCGCGAGCTGGAGAGGAACCTGGCGATGAAGGTGGAGGACGGGGAGAGCGCCGACACGTTCCTGGTCAGCGGACGCGGGACGCTCCACATCACCATCCTGATTGAAAACATGTGAGTATTCCTGGGGACTGGGCGATGGCAGTGGAGGTTGGGAAGAAAGCGGACACTTGCCTGCAGACGCTTTGCCCTCGCTTCCTCGCCCCATTTTCGCATGCGCTTTCCGCCCCTCTCTCTTGGCACCTCAATTTTGCCTGGCAGGAGGAGGGAGGGATACGAGTTCATGGTGGGCCCGCCCCGGGTGATCAACAAGGAGGAGAACGGCAAGACGCTGGAGCCGTATGAGGTGAGCAGAGCAGGGAACAGATGCGGGAGGATACTGGCCGGTGGGAGGGTGGCAGTGGCAGTGGCAGTTGCACATGTGAATTCACGGTGGGCCCACCCCGGGTGATCAACAGGGAGGAGAACGGCAAGACGCTGGAGCCGTACGAGGGGAGGTCTGATGCTAAAGCCGTACGAGGGGAGGGTCCGATCATAGTCAAGCAGGGTTAGCAAAGAACAGAAGATACCAAATCACCATGGCTGAGCTGAGCAGAGCTGAGCAGAGCTGATAACCACGATGAGGAGTATGTGGGGGCGGTGGTGGACATGCTTGGTATGCCCTGTACGCATCATCACCCATCTCCCTCCTCCTGTGTCCCTGCACTCATTCTTTAACTCCTGCAGGAAGCGGTGGTGGAGGTGCCAGAGGAGTATGTGGGGGCGGTTGTGGACATGCTTGGCACACGCAAGGGGCAAATGCTCGACCTGCAGGCCTCCAGGTGAGATACTAGGGCATTCGGCTGGGACGCCAGGGCGCTCTCAGGTTATTTGCCAAGGGTCCACACATGAGATGCCAGGTGCCTGAGCTCCAGCGTCCAGAAAATCGTGGAATTTTCAAATATGTTGTGTGCCAACCGGTTGGGTTGGATCCACATGTGACGGAGTCAAAAGTCAGTCACCTGTGACAGACAGTTATGAAGAAAAAAGTGAAATCTCCCCTTCTTTTTTCCCCCACCCCTCCATCCCACTCCATCCCCTTCCATCCCACTCCATCGTCCTTCATCCCCCTCCAATTCTGGCTCAATAATAAATCTCATGGTTCACTCTCTCGCTCCCTCCTCCAGCTCTGGCACCACTGTGGTGAAGTACCGCGTTCCCGGCCGCGGGCTGCTGGGGCTGTGCAACGCCATTCTGACTGCCACATAGGGCCATTCACTCATCCTCTCTTCACCTTTCCCTTTCTCACCTTTCCCTTTCTCCCTCTCCTCCAGCTCTGGGACAACTGTGGTGAAGTACCGTGTGCCGACCCGCGGGCTGCTGGGGCTGCGCAATGCCATGCTGACGGCCACGCGTGGCACGGCGGTGATCAACACCATCTTCGACAGCTACGGGCAGTGGGCCGGCGACATGAGCACGCGCGAGCAGGGCTCCCTGGTGTCTTTCGACATGGGCCCAACCACGTCCTATGCGCTCTTCAGCTGCCAGGAGAGAGGGCAACTGCTGCTGGGGCCGGGCGTGGAGGTGTACAAGGGGCAGATCATCGGCCTGCACCAGCGGCCTGGGGACCTGGACCTGAACGCCTGCAAGAGGAAAGCCGCCACCAACGTGCGATCCAACAAGGATGCCACAGGTGCGTGTGCGGATGTGTGGTGGTGTGTGTGTGAATGCGTGTGTGTGTTTGAGGAAGAGAAGGGAGCAAGGGTGGGGAAGGTCAGAGGGAGATGGGTCTGATGTGGTGCATCGGAGCTAGCTCTTTGTGTCGCATTGCGCAAAGCATAGCTTCTAACATTCTGTTTGTTGGTTTTTATGTCTCCTTGCAGTGGTGTTGGCGGCGCCCCTTGAGTTCAGCTTAGATGACTGTGTGGAGTACATTCAAGAGGATGAGCTAGTGGAGGTGACGCCCCTATCAGTGCGCATGTTGAAGAATCCCAGGATGGGAAAGAAGGGCAAGAAGTGATCCGTCTGCTGTAACTTCCTTTACATTGTTTACGTTTCTTTTGATAATATATTGCTAGTTTCCAAAAGCCTCATACAGAGGAACGAGATAGAAGCAAACTGGTAGGTTGGTGAAGTGATCTTGAGTTTGAGGTAGGAGGGGGTTTCGATAGAAAGCGCTAAACCGAAACTGGTGAACTCGAAATCGAGGATGCATGTCGGGACCATCTCATCCCTCGCAAATTGTCTCCTAGAAAATGACGAGGGAGCAGCTGATACAGTCTGATGGAAAGTTATCCAGTAGAGAGTTCATTCTGCCATGCTTCGGGTCAATCTCCCTCGCACGCAACGAATTCACGAGCCACAAGGTAGCATGCATCGATGCGTGGCGCCAAGCGACCAAGTGCCGCGCTGTATCCTCGTCAGCACCTGTCGGCGAGGCGTCGATGGCATCACAGCGATGAGCATTGACGACAGATTTTCTCGGAAGAATGACCTGAAGCCTACGATGAACGGAGGCGGAGCTACGGGATGGACGGATGCTAAGGTGAACTTCTTGCTAGCAGCTCCAGAGAGCACTGCTCTATGACGCAGCCTTGCATATCCTTCTGAATGCGTCTCGGATGCGAGCTACGTCGTACCATTCTCGTTGTGCCGGTGTCTAGTCGCTACTCCCTCTCGCTTTCGTCCGACTTACTTCTCCGTCTGTTGCCTGCCGTCGAGCCTGAGATGAGGGTCCCCCGTGTCGCTGCCGTATTTTCAGCCGTTTTTCTCATTCTTCAAAGTGAGCGACACGTTTCGTGCTTGGCTCCCAATCAACTTGTTCCTCTAAAAGTCACAACACTCCACGGCTTGTCTGTTGTGTCTTTCCAAAACTTCGTCGTTGGTTTTAGTCACCACTTGGCTGCTTTCTATCATTCCTTGCTGTACATGCACAGGTGCGGAAGCCAGGCTCCAACCGCCATGGACGCTGAGCCTGGAGCATGCGGCATCAGAGCGTCTGGGGGGGGGCGACATCACATCTTATGCCTTGGACGTCCTCCGGGAAGCAGCTGACGCGTCCGTGGAGAGGCTTGTCATTCGCCAGTGCGGACTGCTGCTGCCTCGCGTATCCATAGGCTCCCCCTCTCTGCTGTTCATCCAGCAAGGTAAGCCACGTTGCTGTATCTTGCCGTGTCAGCCTGTCTAGGAGGAGGCGACATCGCGTCGTACGCCTTGGACGTTCTTAGGGAAGCTGCTGACGTGTCCGTGGAACGGCTTGTCATTCGCCAGTGGGGACTACTGCTGCCCCGGGTGTCGATTGGCTCCCCGTCTCTGCTGTTCATTCAACAAGGTAAGCTGTGTCAGCCTATCTTCCCAGCGTCCTGACTAGGTCCTTGATCCATTTCTCCCTTTCCCCCCTTTCCTCCTCTTGATCTATAAAGCATCTTTGTTCGCCGACTTGCTGAAGGCACCCTTTCTTGCCTGTTTGACCGTCCACCATTTTGGTTCTTTTCTTGTCCTATCCTTTGACTGCTTCCCGATAATTCTTTTTGTTCTCCTGTGGTATTTTTGTACCAACAATCCCAGGGTCGGGTGTGGTGGAGCTGATAGATGACAACGGCCAGACACCTGCTGACGTGTCACCAATCACTGTGAACGGTGGGGATGCGGCGGTGATTCCCAAGGGGTGGACGTACAGCGTTGGGAATTACCTTAACGAATCTCCAGAGCTCATCATCACAGCCGTCAGATTCAGCCACCACAAGCAGGTGAACGCACACCCAGTCAGTGTTACATAGTAGACTGCGTGGGGAATTACCTCAATGAATCTCGAGAGCTCATCATCACGGCCCTTAGATTCAGCCACCACAAGCAGGTGAATACGCTGAACCTTTGATATATACTCCAGTGGATACTCTGTTTCGTTATACGCTGTTTCTTTATACTCTGCTTCTTTATACTCTGTTTTTCCATACTCTGGAGCCACTAATTTCAGTCAATTGACTGCTCGTTCGGGTTCCACCTGATTGCATGCTAACTCAACTAGCTTCCCTGTCCTCCCTCCCCTCCCAGAGATCGTACCTTGCGGGCAGCAAGCCCCACTCGGTGCTGGCTGGCTTCAGCCTCCACATCCCGGAGACGGCATTCCACCAGCAGCACGACGTGGTCAGGGCGCTGCTGCACCACGCCACTGGGGGAGGGATAGTCGCCTCATTCTTTGAGATTCTCCTCCATACATCCCCTCTTTGCCGCTGCCTACCCCCGTTCCCTGCCTTCCCTCCCAGAAATCGTACCTCGCAGGCAGCAGGCCCCACTCGGTGCTGGCTGGCTTCAGCCTGCACATTCTGGAGACGGCGTTCAACCAGCAGCACGACGTGGTCAGGGCCCTCCTGCGCCAGGCCACTGGGGGAGGGATCATTGTGTCCCACTGCGTTCCACCCTCGCCTCCCACGCCTGCTGCAGAGGAGAATTCACCAGGGGAGAGTGCGGCAGGGGAGGGTGCGGCAGGGGGGGAAGCGGCGGGGGATTGGGAGGAAATAGGAACGGGTAGGGGGGTTGCTGGGATGAGGATGGGTTTGGCTGAGGGCGAAGTGGAGGTCGGGGAAGAGAGCAAGAAGGGTAAGGGAGGGAAGAAGGAGATGAAGGGAAGAAGGAGAAGGGGAAGAAGGAGAAGGGGAAGAAGGAGAAGGGGAAGAAGGAGAAGGGGAAGAAGGAGAAGGGAAGAAGGAGAAGGGGAAGAAGGAGAAGGGAAAGAAGGAGAAGAAGAAAAACGGTTCATCTGGTGGACCATGTGGCAGCCAGGCAGCCAGCAATCGCCACGGCGGGGGGCAGCATGGTCCGTGTGTCGTACCGAGACTTCAAGGCGCTCAGGCGGGCAGCATTGTGGGGGAGATCGTGCTGCTCACGCTCTACCCGGTATGTCTCTCTTAAGCCCCACCACTTGTGACAAGGGCGCTCAGGCTGGCAGGCATTCAGGGCAGGATCGTGCTGCTCACGCTC